TTCGTCGTTTCGGTCCCGATTCAGATCCGATTTCCTCCCGGTTTTCACCTGTGAACTCAGAACAGAAGCCTCTTGCACACCATGCAACAATGAACAGAAAATCTACTCTAGATCCACAATCAAATCATGTATAGCATCAAAGCAAACACGGATTCAAACAATTCAAATCCTATAACGTGCTTGATCGGGTTCTAACAAAATCATGTAGAGCAACCAGGCTCTGATACCACTGAAGGAATTCCTGGGATCTCATAAGCGAATCTTATTCCTAAGAGATCAGTTCTAGGATTTGCGCAGCGGATGTAAAACAAAAATTTGATAAAACCCTAAAACCTATCATGCATGATCTTGTAGAAACGATAGAACGCTTACCTCAATCGATCCGGGGCTTGTATCAATTGATATGTTCGTCCGATCACTGTAGGCAGGAAGAATACCTTGCCCTCTACACGTATCCACACCTCGGGATGGATTCCAACCTTTGGAACTTGTCTGCTAGGACTCGAATCTTCTATTCGATGATGTGCCTTGAGAAAAACGAGATTTAGATCACTTCTTCCACTCTCTAGACTCTCCAAAAGGTCTGAAGAAGTTCTCTCTGTTTCGGCTCCTAAGTGTTAGGGTTATTAATCTCCTCTTATTCAAGTGATTAACCCTAATTCCGGATTTTAAAATTAAATCCGAAACCCAGACCGAACGGAATGCTTAGTAGTCCGTTCGGTCTGGACACTTGGTCCGTTCGAACCCCAGTCATTTAACTAGGTCCGTTCGGTCTGACGGATCAGTCCGTTCGGTCCAACACTTGGTCCGTTCGGACTGGACTATCTAGTCCGTTCGGTCCAACAATTTGGTCCGTTCAGACTAGATGCTCCGGTCCGTTCGGTCCACTCCTAGACCGGACGGTCCGGACCTCTGTCCAGATTTCTCGACGTTTTCTCGTGCATTTGTCCTTCCCTGGGTGTGTGACCCTGTAGGCTCATTCGATATAGTAGTATAACCCGAAATCTCTATTCCAGATATACAAGTCATAGGCGGTCTCTAGCAAGACACTATGACTACCTATCTCGAATAAAGTTTGTTCGTGACCTTACGAACGCCAGTGATAATTCTGGTTGATGATCCTTTTGTATCACGATATCATATGTTGAATATAAGGCATGGACAAGCCACCTTATCTGATTCGACTGCTTTCTCGATCACTGAGTTCGACTGTCTGAAATAGACGATGTTCGTCTATAGTGCGACCACACATTTCTACAGTCTCGCTCACACGAGGGGCCCAGCGATATCTCTCTCTTTTACGAGAGGTACAAATCCCGTCTTGACTATCTACAATCCAGCACATGATTCGTTTCGTACCTGATACACGCCTTTATAGCCCTCCTGTTACGCATGATGTTTGATGTAATCAAAGCACATAACTCCTCATGTTGGATTCCGTAGATATCTCAGGTCTTAGGATCCAATCATGGAACCGCCATATGAGATTCAAGTCATGACGCTAGTCCATGTGACAATCTCATGCGGGTCATCCAGTATTCCATCCTCCAACGAATACCTATGATTGTGATCGTATCCAATACCTATGATCATCTATATGATCATCAATCACACATCATACTAGTCTTGTTATATCATTATTCCCACAATGATACATGACTAGGGAGTTTAGTATCGTTCATAACAATACATGGATTTCATAACACATTTAGTATGCAAGAACATGTAATGAATCAAATACTCTCATAAAACCATAGAAAGTATCAATACATCAAATGTATCTAAATAAAGCTCATAAACAGTACATCATAGAGCACTAAACCAACACAACCAATATTGAAGCCAAATATGCCCTAGAATGTCTACAAATATATAGAATCGAGTGAAATACGCTAGACATCCTATATCAAAACATCACCCGAAATATGTGTTATCAAACTCCCCCAGACTTAAACCTTTGCTCGTCCTCGAGTAAATACTCCGTGAAAAACCGGTCTGAAAGGAGGGCGAGACAATGACATAACTCAAAATGATAATCGAGAGCGAAACCTCTATCCGACCTAGATCCCCGTGAACAATAATCAAGTCTGTCTAGTATGATCTCCCTTTCTAAAGGATAATCTTTCCTAGCCATGGGATCTATACCGTTATCTAGAACCAATCCAAGAACTTCAATCATCTACCAAGCATGTTTCTCGAACCTATTACACCATTCTATCTAATCGTATCTAGTATACGCTTTCGACATTCATTTTTTTTCCTTTCTATCTTTTTTTCTCATCTAGCTAGATTTTCTCTTTTTTTTTTCCTTTGCTAGCATCTCGGGTTCCTAGAATGTTGAAGTTGAAGGGTTCCTAATCGATATTTTTTTTACGATTTTGTTTGTTGGATAACCCGACCCACAACTTAGACCCGAACCATCAAATCGATGCACTTATGTCCTCGAACGATTTTTGTTGACGAGATAATGACAGCCACTACAAAAAAAATGGTCATTTCCAACGGGTAAATCCGTTGGAAATGGCCAAATTTCCGTTGGAAATTAACGTTTCCAATGGATTTCCAACGGATTTATCCGTTGAAATTTCGTCATTAGAAATCGGTGTCCGTTGGAAAACCGTTGGAATTTTCAACGGAATTTCAACGAATTTTTCCGTTGGAATTTTCCAACGGATTTCCAACCGGCATCCGTTGGAATTTTCCAACGGATTTCCAACCGCAATCCGTTTGAATTTTCCAACGGAATTTCTAACCGATATCCGTTGGAATTTTCCAACGGAATTTTCAACCGCATTCCGTTAGAATTTTCCAACGAAAAATTCGAAACATATTCCCGACCCGATCCCGACCCCGATATCATGTAACATTAATATATATACATATATAAATATTTATACATATTTACATATTTACATATATACATATTCAAATTCATATATATATATATATATATATATTTGTTATGTATATGTATATGGTTAATATATATATATACACTTATTCGTATACATATATGTGTATATATACACATCATAT